ACCATTATATTTTATTCTGATCTCCTGGTGCTGTTGTTTTGATACTGAGTTTTGGGACATATTGGTAATTCTTTATCTTCATGGCAAGTATTGAATATGAAGCATTTAGTCCAGTCCTTATTAAAGTGGCATAAGAAGGTTTTTCGGCAGGGCAAGAAGTTATAAACAAAAAGCAAATACCCAACAGTTTGCTGAAAAAAAGAGTTCCCAAAAATACAGAAGTATAAAGGCTGGCCAACAGCACTTTTTGGGGGAGAGATTTAGCAATAGAAGCTAATCTTGCTAATTAAAGTGGGCTTATTCAAATGCATGTTTCACTTCTTAATTTTTTCTGTGCTCTTTTTGATAATGTTATTGTCCTATGTTTGTGATTCCAGGGTTCCAGCAGCTGTTAGATGACCTTGATGATCTGAGTTTGGACACCCCTGATGCTCCAGAGGTAACTTTAACTTAGATGTTACTGATAAGTACAGGCTCAGTTAGCCATATGGGCCACTATGATTACAAGTCCAATTCTTTCTCTTTTTTCAACAACCTTGTATGATGCTATTCAAAGATTGTTTGCACTAAACTAGAGTTTTTTTGCTTTTCCAAGATGGTGGGAAAGTTCATTGCTCGTGCTATTGCTGATGACTGTTTGCCACCAGCTTTTGTTAGTAATTTGGGAGATGCTCCTCCTAATTCCAATCAAGCGTAAGTACAATTTTCTATTGATAGTTAACTGCCTGTTTCATTTTGTAGCTGATAACATGTTCAAGAAAATAACCTGTTTGTTCACTATTTTGACAGCAAAGCCTTGACTGAAGCAGGTGTGCTGCTGAAAATGAAACATGGGATGGTACGATTGGATAGTGTGTGGGGTGTGGCTGGAGGAAGACGCCCAGTCAAGTATCTTGTGAAAAAGGTTTGTTTAATTAGCAGAGTTCAAGAGACCTTGAGTGAATAATGTTGATGAAAATTATCTTTGCAAAATTTATAAAAAAGAAGCTTTACATTTAGATAGGTCAGGGTTTCACTCACAAACGATTAAATTGCAGGCAAATTGAATGCATTTTATCAACCAAAAGTAACCTTTAGTTGTTGCAAATGGTTTGTGCGGTACATTTGTCTTTGCAGTTCTCCAGTTCATGAACCATTAGCTGAGGTGTGTCAGCGTTGTGAGGGAATTAGCTTTGATAGCCATGGGATTGTAACCCATCCTGTAAGAGTCAACTCTCTTATGTGTAGTTTTTGTTTGCAGATGGTTTTGTTGCTGAAAGAGTATTTGTCTTCAGAAGATATTGAAGAAGTAAGCAAAGTTTTCAGTACTAAAACGAATTAATGATTTTCCAAGTGATAAATGGTTGTTATCTTTTTGGATGGTTGTTTTGAGATGAGAACCAAATACATTTAAAAAAGGCAATTTTGACCCAAAAATGATAAGCACTTGCTTAATGTGACACCAGACAGCCTCCTTTTTTTTTTTTTTTTGGTTCATTGACAACAACTGGAAGAGTAACAGTAGAAGAGCAAGTGGTGCAGCCTCTTTTTTTTACTTGTCTGTTTTGTTTTGGATGCCTTCTCCATTAAGGAAACAAATCTCCCTTGGCGTGAGTAATAACTGGAAGAGTTAGAGAAAGTATTTTTATGGTTGATTGTCTTTTTTTCCTTTCCCAGGCAAGTCGTTGCGTCCAGGAGTTGGAAGTGCCACATTTCTATCATGAGCTGGTTTATGAGGTATGATGGTCACTGTTGATAATTGAGCTCCGAAACATGCCCTTATTTATCCAACCTTAACTTTTAATGAATATTCCCAATGCTCTGCTGAAAAAGACACTTGTCGTACCTGAAGATATTAAACTGAAGGTTCATGTCACAAGCATCTCGTTTTCTCAAGGATGTCAATGTCACCTGAGTTTTCCATAGGTTTCAATTATTCACTAACTTTTTTTCACTGAGCTAAATTTGAAGTCGACAAACATCGGTTGAAGCAGTTTCAATGTAGATTACAATTTTAAAACTTGTTTAACATAACATCTTTAAAACACGCGTAAGTTTTGGTGTGATAAGGCATTAGATTTGGATCATTCCTCATCTGCACCAGGTCTGACTTTGTTGTTGTTGTTGTTGTTGTTATCTGTCAACAGGCAATCATTATGACTTTGGAAGATGAGCATGATCGAGTGATGACCCTCATGAAGAATTTATTGCAGTTCTTCTCAAACACTAACATTGTCACACCGGACCAAATTAAGAATGTAAGTTGGTTGTGAGTTCTTTGGGTGAAGAAAGTTGAAAAACTAAAATCCTGTGGTACCCCTAGTCTCTGGAATGTTAAAAGGTTTGTTTCACTGAAGACTGTTTTTTTTTTCTCTGCTTTATTTAACAGGGTTTTCAACGTGTGTTTGACTCTTTTTCCGATATCCAACTGGATATTCCACATGCCCATACACTCCTGGAAAAGTTCACCGACATGTGTGCCCGCGATGGAATCATTCCAATCTCCTTTACTATGAAAGTCCCTTCCAGGTATGTGTACGTGCAAGGTTTCACCAATACTAATAGTAATGGCTCCGCGTATGCCTACTATTATTTAACCGTAGATTCAGTCTCGAGCCTCAAACAATGAGTGAGAGAAGTCTTCCTCATTTTCCGAATTAGTTTTAAAAGAATTAATTGAGCACATTTTATAACCAGGAAATACTTATTCTCAATGTACTAGTTGACACTTCTACATATGCTAAAATACACTCTGTAATAATGGGTAAAGTTTTAGAAAATTATTTTTGCCTTTTGCCGCTGGACCAAGATTGGTGTCACTCAACCATCACCTGGATGCAAACTTCTTTTTTTCCCTTTTTCGCTATAACATTCCGGTAAATTCAAGGCAAGCTCGGCTGAAATTATGACTAATAATCTGGTATCATCAATTGAGTTGATAACGTAAATTGGCCACCGTAAATAGTTTTAGAGCTGAGATCAGAGCGATGGAGGGCTAACGCTCGAAACGTAAGCTTTGAAACTCTTTACGGTGGCCAATTTAAGTTATCAACTTAGTTGATATTACCAAATTACTTTGTTATACTCTCCCACCGACGCAGCACCACAGTTTCTTCAAAAAACGTACCCCTTTGTTGAAATTATGACCAGCTACCTTTCCTCGGTGTAACAGGAGTCGGTGCGCGGTTTTAAAATTGTCCACGGTTCCCCTAATGGTTGTAGTCTTGTTCAATCCTTTTTATCGGTAAGATATACATATTGTGTGGTTTCTTCTTTGTTTCTAAGTAGTGTGTTTTCCTTTGTGTTGCAGAGGACGAAAGCGCTTTGTCAGCGAAGGTGACGGGGGATTGGTGAAATCTTAGCTTTCTCCTAAGAAAGCAATAACGAGCCAGACAATTAATCAGTGAACTCTACTAACAAGGGGAGAACATTCTTGTTTAAAAAAGGGTCTTGTTTGTCACGGTCTCCCTCGAAGCCGTTCTTTTGCATGTAACCTAGCGTTGCCCTGTTCCGTGGCATCCCAAAAGACGGTTACGAAAGAGACCATGTTTGTCAGTACACCGGTATTCTTAGCCACCTACGTTTAGCGTTAACACTAAGCTAAAATTGTTGTAATCGTGTATGAATGATTCTCGGCATGATGTCGTTAGCCCTTAGTTCTTGTTAAGTTGCGGATTTTCTCTACATCTCTCTCTCGCTCTCTCTTTCTCTGTATCCTTGGTGGGATCGATGTCTCCTGTGCGCAGACCATACCTTGAAAATTACTTTTATACTTTATTTTCAATTTGGTTCGTCAACTGTTAAGATTCGCTTTCCAGTGAAAATTTTTTACGAGGGTTTTCATTATTATTTGAGCTAACGGCAGTAAAACTAACTTGTACATAAGGGTTTTTCGTAGGTCGAGGTAGTTGTGATGTTATAACTTGTTGGTGGAATGTATTCTTTTTTGTTACTGTTAATGCGTAATGTAGTCACCACTGCAGAGTGATATTAACGAGAAATGAAGTGAACGATGGACTGCCGTGTCCTTAAGTCACCTTGAATCGATAATAATGTATTTTGAATGGGGAGTAACTGCGATGTCTCAGTCATTTTTTCGTAAGTTCTATTTTTCATCCCGCAGTTTTCAGTTCTCGTGTCGTTTACTCTTTGTCAGCTTTAGCATTCGACGTTTCTGTAGTATTTTTAGTTCAGTTAAGGTTATAACAAACAAACTCCTGATATCAAGGGTTTAGAGAAACTTGCGATATGTTTTTTGTTTTCTTCCTCGCTCTCTTTTGAACATTTGTGTTAACAGCGAAATCATCCCAGACAATATTACATTTTTTTTCAAACGCTTTGTCTCCCTTCTTACACATGAAAATTGTACAGACTCTCTCTGGCTTGTCAAACTTTATAAACAAATAAAAAAAATTGAAACCCACTCGTGTACTAAAAGACTGTTGACAAAATAGAGATGCCTTATGGCGTGAAAATAAGATCAGGATTGGTGAAAGCTGCGCATGCCCTTCGTGATACTGTTCCCATAGGGTGTTTTTCAAGAAAAAGATGTCAATTATTTCTCCAATATCTCTTGAAGTAAAAGGATTTCACTTGTTCTGACAGTGGGTCAGTGTAGACAGTCTGCTTACGAGGACAACAGCGGTTGTCGTTTTTAACGTAGAAATTCAGCGCCGTTCCTTTTACGAAGACTTAACGTTTGTTTTTGCAAGGAGTCCATTTCTCAAAAGTAGTGTGAAGTAGATTGGCTATCTAGACATTTCTCGTGCCCAGCCACTCATAGATCTTCCTCGGGTGGGCAGAGTGGGTCAGCGAGACTTTACGAGAAGCCTGTGAATGCAAAAAAGGATGCTAGTTCATTGGGTCCATCCACTGAAATCCGAAAAGGCGATTTACCGCGATTTACCTCAATTTACCTTGATTGGCCCTGAGCAGCAGCTCTCAACAAGTAAGGAGACTGGTGAAGAGCTAAGGACATGATATAAAAAGTTGGTCAGCGGAGTTGCGTCCATGGCAACGACAGAAAAAAATAGCAATGGCGGTGAAATTTAGCAGGGCCCCTTGAAGTTTAGATGTTTACTTGTTTTGACTCTGAAAATGGATCAGTTTGGAACCCTTGAGCTCGGGTAAGAATTATTTATATATCTTGATACCATTTGATGATTGAATCCAGACATTTGGGTCAATCAAAAAGGTAGTAACACGCAACGTCTCTGATGTCTGTTTGCAGAGCCAGAAGCCTCGTTCAAGCTAATCTCATAAAAAGTTGATGTTTGATATAATTTCTCATGTCGCACAGTTTAGAAGAAGTATCATATCGATTAATTTACATGACCGAGCTTTAAAATACGCAAGGGATTAGCTCAAATTGTTCATTGAAAATTGTTATCGCTTTTGATGGTTTTGTTACAAAATAGGATGTACTGTTGTTTGTGCTCGTTTTTCAGGAGAAAGCTGACGTTTTTATCTCCAAGGCTAGGGACATTTTATTTTTAATTTGCGTTAAGTGTTTCATTTAGAAGGAGGGTTATGTTTTAAATATGTCTTTGCGACGCATTTAATCATGCAGCAGTAATATGACTTAACCTCTTATTATGTTTACCAGGTGGGCCCAGGGATATAATGGCTCCCCAGCATTGTTTGTCAACAGGGACACTGTCTGCTTTATCTGTGGGAACAACATTAAATTTGTAAATACGAAAGACAAGAGGGAGTCAGTTTTATCCAGTCCTGGGGATGGAATTGGAGCATTTGCTGTGAACTCTTCCACCAGTAACATTGCTTTTGCTGAACTGAGAGTTAACCCCAAGCTTTTTATCTATACTTTCCCTGACTTTTCAAGACCACGAGCTGTTCTTGAAGGTAAACTTTGTTTCTTGATAATTACCTATTACAGCTTCTCAAACCTCATGTCAAGGATTACAAGGCCCAAGTCATGTGTTAAGAATCTCATACATAAAATTCATGAACAGACCTGTGACTCAAATTTAACCTGAAAAAAAATTTAATGGCCTAGAAATGGTTCAGGGAAAAACAGACAGTTAAAGAATTGCAGGAGAGCGGGAGAAAATAGCAGGGATAGTTATTCAGAATGTTGGAAAAATAAAAACATGATACTGAATATCTTTTTGTTGACTCAGCAGAGCCTTAAGACCAACACTCAAGTTAATAGGTCATTTCTGAAATATGGTTGGCCCCTATTTTCAAAGTGAGTCCTGGTGCTCATCCTTTCACATGGTTATAAGTTTTTATTCACATACAAATTAAACTAATTTTTATATGAATGGTTGAGCACCAGGCCTTATTTTTAAAGAGGCAAAAGTTAATTCGGAAATGACCTATTTAGGCCACAATTTATAATTGATTTAATAAATATGATATGTTTTCATTCTTTAGGTGGTGCAAGGTTGACATACTCCTGCATTGCTTTTGCTAATAATAGCAGCATCTTGGCGACACATTCAGGGATTCCAGATTTTCAACTTACTGTCTGGTGAGTAGTTCATTTTTTTTTTTTTAATTTTTTTTCCCAGGGTAATTTTGCTCTTTGAGTTGTGACTAAAATTTGTTATACCTTAAAATTCACTTTTACAATAGTAATTGTTGGAGTATCCAGTTGTTTCATTCCCATGGATCTTTCGTACTCAGACAATTTGTACCTATCATACCCAATGAAATAAATGTTTATGTTTGTTTTAAACATTTTGTGTCATAATTTATTGGGTATGAATCAACCAGAGGGTTGGGTACGAACTGATCAAAAGTGGATACGAAACATCTGAGCCTGGGTACGAATTGTCTGGGAATGAAAGATCCATGGGTGCGAAATGACTGGTATAGCATTGTTAGGACCAACTTTTTTCTCCAACTGTTTTAAAAATTCTTTGATATGGTAAATCTTCAACTTCTAGAAAAGTTGGCCTCAAAAGTCATTGAGATTCAGTTAAAATTGTGAATCTAAAACATGAAGAGATATGAATTAAAATTTTTGATTACTTTATATAAATTTTGCTTTCCTCTTAAAATGATGGATAATGTGGATATAAGTTCCAGTAAATATTATAATATTTGATCATCATTAAATATTGAACATCTTCAGGAACTGGTTTGAGAAGATAAAGCTATGCTCAATCGATGTTGGAAGACATTTGTGTACTGGACTGTCATTCAACCCAACAAACTGGCGTCAGTTATGTACTGTGTCAAGTGATGTTCTGATGCTGTGGAATGTTGGCCAGCTCAATACCAAGTATTCACTAGTCTCAAGGTCTGTGTTTGTGTCTCATACAAATTTTTGTGCACATTTTGTAGAAAAAAGGTAACAAAACACTCTGAAGGTCTTTTTCAAAGTATTAGCCATTAAAGCCTGGTTTCTAAATGCTGCACATGGGAAGTGCGATGGTCTTTGGCCTCCCCCTAGTAACAATAAAAATGTGATCACACTCAGAAAGTGTGACTCTTGAAATCACACTTTTTTACACTAATTAAAGTGTGATCACATATAGAAAGTGCGACTGAAGCATGGTTCTTGAAATCACACTCAAAGTTCCAGACTATCCACTGTACATATCAATTCACATAATATATTGCAGTTATACTTATATTCCAAGCTAATGATAATATTCACATCTTTGTCTTTTGGGTGCAACTCTTTGCTGGGATTGAGTTTAATATTCTGTAATAATATTCTGAGAAGAACAATTTATACATGGTATCTCTCTCCACCCACAAGTATTTCAACAGAGCTTTTGGTAAAATGTCTAGGAAGCTAATAAAAGATCTTGTTGTTGTTATTAGTTCTATAAGACTGCCTCCAGCTGATGGAAGTCTAGATGATGACGAATTTGAGGACTTGGGGCAGTCTGTTAGTCGTATGAGCCATCCAGAAGGATATAGAATTACTAAAGCAGCCATAGCTGGATTAGTAGGAGAGAATGCAAAGAGTTATGAGCCAGGTAGAAGTTTGATACTTTTCTTCTTTTTGAAAAACCAAATAGAGTTCAGCCTTTCTTGTCAAATTTCTGTGATATAGACTGAGGTAAATGAAAAGAGAGGGAAAAAAAGAGGAATTCTTTGAAAATAGTCTAGTACCTTTTTACTGGGTATTGATTGTTAGTTGATCCAATACCAAGTTCTCCAAAGTAATATCATATGAATTGTATGACTGACAGTA